TGGCCGCAGAATTTAAACGGGTCAGTGATGCAAGCTGACGATCACGGGGTCGGGTCCGTAGGACTTGCCAGATAGAATCCGGCATTTCACCAATAATGAGCCCTTCCGGAAATTGCTTCCAAGCCACCTACATGAACGGAAGCACTGAGAATAAATATCGCCAAACAATAAGCACTCTAAATATTAAACAGCCGAAAGCCGATAAATGTACCTGACTGTCCAAATTTTGGCCACCGGGGAAAAAATAGAGTTAAGACCAGAATATTGATAAATAACTATTTGTGTTCTGTTCAGCGGTACGCTGCGGGACAGTCGATTAAGCCAACGCACCCCATCACAAAAATCGGGCCCGGAACAGCACGTGGTTCAGAATGCATGCACCAAATGCATGCTTCCAAAAACTCTAAGATCTGTCCCAAAGATCATGAACATCCTCATCTAAACTGGATGAAGGCAACGAAACCCTATGTCATAGTACGATAAACAGCTGAAAAAGGTGAGCTCTCGAGACACAAGAACCTACTTTACACTCATGATAATCGGTAACTCGACCCCAGGGCGTGGTATTTATCCGGACGACAACGAAGGTGGGTGGCGGAGTTGAAATCTCAGACCCTAGGGACTGATAATACATCAAGGGCGATGACTTAAACACCCCTTAAACAACAACACCACTCCAAGCGACCATTCAAAAGCATTTTTTAATTGGATAAGCATGACTATACTGATATGCTCTCGGACTGATGCCGGTCGTGCATGGCTCACCATATTGATCCATAATCATTAGTCCTTGTTTCGTCCAATACATGCACCAACCTCGGTCACTTTATATACTCCTACACCTATACACCATCAATGGGTAGCAAGATTTTTCGAAACAAATCACAATGGTCTTCGGTAAATACATGAGTCAATTACAAGCAACCAAAATGATTGATACTTAAGAAGCTCACTCGTTGGAGAGTCGTCAAAAACAATTCTTTGGTGACCAGTGGTAGTGCAAGAACATATAGTGAAGACCAGAATTGATCTACAGCGGAAATTCTCGAAATGTAGTAAGAAAAATAAGAGTCTGAAAGCACTTTTCGCAAAAAATCCTCCTTCCACCTTCCTAATAAATTGGTAGCTCACTGATTGACCACACCCCTTTCCTGCAAATTGCATCATTATATTTCAACAGAAGGAAGTAAAAATGCAAAACGAAAAAGATAGATTGAAGCGAGCTACACTCGATAGTCAATCATAGAGTCCGATGTAGATCAAATTTGTCTGTCAACTCATCAAACCTTAATTTAACCAGAAGAATAAAATCTGAATCGAGAGCAACTAAGGAAGTAGAAAATCAGTGAAAATTAAAGCGAATTGTAGGGTGACGAGTGTGAACAATACTGAGGAACTGATATCACGGTGGCACCTACAGCAATAAAACTTGTGTAAAACTAGTGCACATGATAGGGGAATATTTAAAACAGTAATGTTTAAATACTTTTTTGTCAATCAATGTACTGTAATATTGAGTTCATTTCAGTTCTTACAACCATTAACCATGCACTTTCGTGCGCCCGTTTTGGTTGCCCATTTGGATAAAGGAGAAGAATAAAGATAGAATGCGTAAATTCAAGCAGAAGATAGCGAATTTACATAGACTGATGTTACAAGAATAATGAGTAGACGCATGAGCGCCACTGTTTGCNTATCGCTCAGTGTCTCTAACCATCGGTAAACATGATCTCTTGGTCCCCAGCAAGGGAGCTTAACGGGACCTATGTGAGCCAGTCTCCTGGTCAGGGTTTTCATACCCTCATGCCAGGTATTAGCTTGACCGCCCTTCATTTATTTCCAACCACTACCTGTCTCGCCAAGCATCGCTCGCCGTGGCAACCTATCTGGTGACATGTGTAGCACATGTCCCAACCAACGTAATCTATGGAGGTCGACTACCTGTACCAGTGGACGACCGCGATAAGCTATAGTTTCAGTTTGTACAACCATTAACCACGCATATTCGTGCGCCAGTTTTGGTTACCGTCTTTTGGATGCCCATTTGGATGAAGAATAGGAGAAGAAAGGAACGTTGAAAGTGGAGTCGAACAGAAAATGGAGAAAGTCAGTGGGCTAAGGGTGCAAAGAACTTGAGAAGATG